TAGTGACGTCATGGGCTGTCGCCGGCCAACGTGTTGTTGGTGTTTTTTCAATGTATGCTTCAGACACAGGTCACGACGAGGCGTTCCCCATAGCGACCCCTAGTGGACGCAGTGTCTCGTTCCCTACTCAGGGAACCATGGTTACATAAGTAACCTGAGACGTAATCTTTAGTGGAACAAAATATAATCAGTTGTCCCTGATTATCCGTCTTTGTAGATACTGATCTGATGCGAAATAAAAAAACAAGCCACATAGGTATAAGCCATCTGGTTTGACAGGAGGGGAGAAATCCATTCCTTAGCACTGGGGCAGATGCTGTTTCCTGCATCCACACACTGCTGATGCGCTGGCAGATGATTGTTGACTCACAAAGTGACCTTTATTCTGCACCTTCACTGGCAGTGCTGCACCCTCTGAGGAAGAGTGTTTTTAGAGCTCACTCCTCAGGGAATCTTCTACATTTAGAGCTCATGAAGCGTGCTCCTCTCTCTCTCACTGTCATATGTGCACACACTCTGCAGTGATTGGAGGTTGACAGCAGATCGGGTTGGTGAACTGATGTCAATGTTTAAATGAGCGGCAGCAACCTCTGTGTTTGCCCTTGACAGCCTTCTGTTGAGACATGTTGTGAAAAACAACTTCAGCACATGGTATAACTGACATATAAATTAAATCCCAAAATGAATGGAATTTATCATCAGATGTCAGCCAGAAGAGCATTTAATGACACTCATCGCAACTTTGGGTTCGTATATGTTTGGACATGGCTCATTACCATATTGATTGTATAAAATGGCTTAATAAAAATATTAAAGATGCAACTTTTCATTAAAACAGTACTTTTTAAAGCTAATTTATTATGTGCTATTATTCTTTAGAAGTATACACTACTGTTCAAAAGTTTGGGGTCAGTATGATTTTTTTTAATGAAATTAATACTTTTAGTCATCAGATACACATTAAATTGACCAAAAGTGACAGTAAAGACATTTATAATGTTGCAAAAGATTTCTATTTCAAATAAATGCTGTTCTTTTGAGCTTTCTATTCATCAAAGAATCCTGAAAAAGTATTAGAATGATTTTTGAAGGATCATGTGACACTGAAGTCTGGAGTAATGGCTGCTGTAAATTCAACTTTGCCATCACAGGAATAAATTTGTAACGAATTAGTCCACTGAAGGCGAGTTGAAGTGAGAACCCAAGTGCAGTTTATTTACAGAGTGATCCAAACATCCAAACAAAATCCAAACAAGATACACAGACTTGACTTGACTTGACATGAACAGACTTGACTTGACGAGGCATGAACAGACTTGACTTGACTTGACCAGACTGGACTCACCGACAGCAGGTTACAACATCAATACACGACGAAGACTATGGGAACATCATGGCTACTTATAACAGACAAGAGGGTCACATGACAAGAACAAACCAATGGGAAACAAGACACATGACTAAAACAACCAATCAGAACATGACACATACACAAGGCAGAGAGACATGAGGCAAGGGAAGCATGACACTAACATCAGGAAACAATTACAAAATAAAAGACATGAAAACATGAACAAGAAACACAACCCAAAACACCACATTACAGTATGATGATTTATAACACAATGAACACGTTGCATCCACTTTTACAATGGATTATAT